TACAATGTAGAAACACCGAGACAGGAAAAGGCATACACACCGCTGACTATCAACTTGCTTGCTTTAATACTTAGTCTTCCTTTTTGCTAACTACAGCTTGTAATAAAACACATCCCCCATGTCCTCGTGCTGCACCTGTTAGGATGTTAAGCGGCTCGTGCCACACCCCAAATGTTGTCTCTCTTTCACGTGGATCGTGATCGACGGGGTGCTCACGCCTATTTTACCCCTTTTTTCAATGACCAGGGCTTCAATTACTTCTCGTGCATATGCGTTCCGGTGTCGACCTGTATTGGTAATGTTGTTAATATTAGGAGTGCAATTGCAGGACCCGCAGTGTGCAGAGAGATGTCCGGCAGATGTTCCATTAACAGAAGCCGCGTGCTCTCTAGCTCGATCGTTGACACACCACCAAGTTTGCCCTATGTAGCACTTGCCACAGGAAAGTGGCATGTGGTACACAACGCCCATTTGGCACGGAGTATACTGCGTCCCGTGAGCTATTGTGCTTTTTTTTTTTTCTTCTTGATTTCTTTTTGGTTTGTTCTGCGGCACATGGAGTACGCCTTGTTTGGTGCCGAGAACACAACCCGAATATCATGCCTCTCAGCAATCTTTTTTAGGTTGTGTGTGTGTGAGATAAAAAAAACAAGATTTCCGGGAGGCATGATATTCGGGTTGTGTACTCGGCGCCAAACAAGGCGTACTCCATGTGCCGCAGAACAAACCAAAGTGCAAATCAAGAAACAATGCATAATTGCTAACAGGGCTCGGTAAACCCCGTGCCAAATGGACGTTGTGTAGCATATACCACTTTCCAGCGGCAAGTGCTACATGGGGCAAACTGGGCAGTGTGTCAACGATCGAGCTTCTGTTAAAGGAACATCGGCCGGACATCTCTCTGCACAGTACCAGTCCTGCCATTGCACTCCTAATTTTAACAACTTACCATTAAAGGGCGACGCCGGAACGCAGATACACGCGATGTAATTGAACCCCTGGCCATTGAAGAAAGTGGCAAAATGTGCGTGAGCACCCCGTCGATCACGGTCCACGCGAAAAAGAGACAATACTTGGTGAATGCGGCACGAGCCGCTCAACATCCTAATAGGTGCGGCGCGAGGACATGGGAAATGTTTTTTATCACTAGCATTAGTTAGCAAAAAGGGAAAAAAGGAAGACAAAGTATTAAAGCAAGCAAGTTGATAGTCAGCGGTGTGTATGTCTTTCCCTGTCTCGGTTTTTCTACGTTTTAACCGTTCAGCTGACCCTATTCATTATGCACCAACTAGGGTGCCTTCATGTGCGCTTTGCCCTAGTACCAACTAGCTCAAGTCAAACCTGTAGTGGCGTGGGGCTTCGATGTGACAGTTTGCCCCTGTGGTTTGGGGTAAACTTTCCCTCATTAAGGATGTGTATGTGGCGAAGCACGCTCTCCGTAAATGCCGCATCGTGACGATTTTGGATTAAGCCGTCATCACCGCGGTCTGGCAGCTTCCGTCAATCATTTCACAATGAACATTAATAGATTAATTAGTACATTAAATTTTATTAAATATAGTGATGCGCTATGAATTCCCAGACTCTACGAATGTTTTATTCGGTAACGTACGAACGGCTAGAGTACGAATATGTATATGCTGCCAGACATGTCCGCATAGCTACAACCACAATAAAACGTCGGATTTTAAGGCCGAAAAAGTAATCCCTAGTTGAAACGTGCTCTAAATTGTGCTTCCCCACCATCTGTGTTTAATAAACGCTAACCCTGTGGCATCTAAGGGCTTCACTGTAAAGACCCGCCCCCGTCAGATTTTTAGATAAGCTTTCCCTCAATTATATCTTATATGTAACAAAGCACGCTTTCCGTAAATGCCGTACTGTATGGTTTTGTACTTCGCTAAGTTAATCACAGCCATCCTGAAGATTCTGTTAGTCATTTTGCAACAAACTTGAACGGCTTCATGCTTTGGCATAATATTTTCTAAATTAGAACGGTGCATTAGTCTTCTCAGGATACTATTAATGTTCTATTCGGTAATAAACAAAAGGTTGTGCCTATTTGGTTAGCTTGCTTGCGCTGACCATAGCCCCGTGAACGTTCAAACATCTATATAAGATAGATATTGATGCATTCATGTGATTAGAGAAATGGTAACTGTGGCTCGCGGCTAAATATTAATGTATTAAAGTAGGTTGTTAAAACACTTCGCTATGGTGTCTAGTATCATTAGTAGTATCTCCAAGTGCGCAATTTTAGCTTTTTACTCGAGAGATTCGCAGTTCAGCTATCCTGCAGTGTAAAAGTTTGTTGACCGATGGTAAATTCACGTGAGGACCCTGCCAGACCACTTTAAATTTCAGGTGCTTGCCGTCATTTGCTTAGACGGAACCGCTAATAAGAGATTCTGCAAATCAGCCATCTGCTTCAAGATAGAAATGGATAAGGCCACATGGCTTCTAGTTATTAAAGCAAAACTTTAACAAATCATTAAAATCTGAGTAACATAAGAATTAAAATAACAAAGATATTCTCGTTGCCAAAAAGTTATTCATAATTTACATTGAACCTTTAGTATTTGCCACAATTTAGCTTGGGAACGCCAATAGGGAGTCATTCGCCTTGATAGTCTCTCACGCTTATCATTAACTAGAAACTAAGTTTGAGAACAATCGGAGTTTAGTAGGACTTCCGAGAGAAAGCCTAGAAATCAAACACAAACAAAGATCAAAAAACAATCTTGTCACAAGAAACGCGAAGAGCCCGAAATGCAAGCTGGTTCACCGATTATCTGAATGAAATTTATCCGAAGGTCACTGAGAAGCCCATGAAACCGCCGCACGAAACTTCAACAGGCTTAAAGAGACTGTAGGTTAATAATGTAGACCGCTTTTTCCAACATGCTAAACAAGATAAACCCTGTATAGTTTGTTATCATAAGCAGAACCAATTTCTAATGCGTCCACGTTTTTTTTAGACCAGATGAAAACCATTCCTCCAATTAACATCGCCTGTTTTTGTAAAAACCTACATTTCAAAGCCAAAAATTAACTGCGTCTTCGACACTGCAACACGCACAATAAACAACGGTACTGTAAACGGATTCGAGCACTATATATAGCAAATATAGAGTGAACGGGGGAAGCAACATAGACAGACGGGAATCTGAGGGGAAAACTAGCGGGAACACCAAAAGCGACCCTGGGAGACTCGTAGTGAGTCACTGGGAACAGAGACAGACCTAGCCCGAAACGATGCCAGCCCAGTAACGCGCTTCACGGCACCAGAGCATGATGAGGGCTGGCTCCTGCAAATTAGCGACGCTCGGACGAACTCCCCTCAATTTCGGGAACTCGGAAGCACAGCCGCCTCCTCCTCTCCGTTCTCCCCATCCTCCCAATTCCTCTCCCCGTCCCGTCGCCGACATCGTCTGGGGTCTATCCCGAGTCCTACTCTCCGTGTCCGCGATCAGCACGTACACCTTTTTGCTTCGTTCTTTTTTTCCCCGGTGCCTCCGCCAACTTCCCCAAATTGGGAAAGAAGGCTGAGGGAGTTTGGGGAAACCCCCTATTTGGGAGAGGAGAAATGGAAGCTTTTGTCGTTTCGCTTTCTTTTCTTAATGTAGGTGAAGAGAGGACTACTCGAAAGGGAGGGAGAAGGGGAAGAAAAAGAGGGGGAGGGGAAAGATATAGTGCGTCGAATGGAGTGGGGAGCTGTCAATTGGGAGAATAACAAAAGGACCCAAAATTGAAACGCTAAAATGCTACTGAAGAACTGTAGCTTTTCTCCTTTTCGGTTCGGGCTTTCATGTGTTTTCCCTAAGTTTTCTACTTAGATTATTTTCTAACTATATTTTTTTTTGTCTTCTCGGTGTTTCCGCTTCCCCCACTCACTCAGCGCTGCGTGTCACCCGTTTATTTTATTTGTACGCCTGAAACAGATTTCCCTTTTTTTCTCTTTTCGCCCCTTATCACCTATCCGTCTCTATTTTCTTAATCCATTTCGTCTACTTTTCTCGGGTTTTAGTCCTCTTTTAGCAACTCTTGTTCCTATCTTCATCCCTGTCTCGGTTCTTTTTTTTCTTCTTATAACTCAGTTATTTTGGTCTCATTTTCTTTCTTTTTTTTTATTTGGTCTCAGTCTGTGTAGGGCACGAGCGCCTGCTGTTACGGTACACGCCACCCAAAAACATTGACCAGAAACATAATCCAAACTCCTTCCCACCTTTTCCCACAAAAGCTGCCCCCAACCAAATGTTTGAAGAGCAAGTGTGGGTTAGTTTCAAGGCTCCGCGCGGCCCGCGGGAACGCCGGAACACTTCAAAGGAATCGCTCATGCGAGGGCCATCGTTCTCTCCCGCATGTGTTCTGATTCCGTTGCGGTTCGCTGGGGCTGTGACGGCTATACTACGTTCACGTATAAACTGGCAGTGCGGCGAAAGCTACGAGCTCGCTAGACCAGTCATACCTTTCTCTATCGCCACGTGATCACGCTCTCATCCGTACAGACGCACAGAGAGCTTGACCAGGAGATAAGAGGGAGGCGGTTGATTCGCCCGGCGAGCACGTAGCTCCCATCGCACTGTCAGCTTACGGGTGAACGGCATACAGTATCGTACGGCTACGAGTCATCGTTACGGGAGCAATCTTGTTTTCGCAGCGCTTGAAGATTGATCTATCGCTGGACCGGTCAACTGCAGGCAGCAGCACGTGGGGCTTGCGTGAGGAACGAACTCTAGACGCATGATTCACGCAATTGCCGCTGCTGAGCTCCTCCATGCGGTGCATTCAAGTCTGAAGACACGCGCTGACAGAAAAGACATTATTGGGTTACTTGGTTTCTCTTTTTTTTTTTTAGTTCAACCGCGCTGCTAATGATTTTACGTTAAACGAGGCTGGCACTAGAGTATCAGTGTCGTTTAACGTGTTTCCTAGCTGTCAGCGCCTATATGGGTTCTATTCAGCGACTGTACTCAACCCTGCATTGCACTGGCGCGCAGGTGGCGTGGATCAAGATGGACACGGAGACGTTGCTCACGTACCACCGGCACATCATCGTGGGCGAGCCGCGGCTGCGCGTAAGCGACAATAACGAGCGCCAGTGGCTGCTGCACATCCGCAACGCCCAGCCCTCGGACAAGGGCTTCTACATGTGCCAGATCAACACCGAGCCCATGATCACCGAGGTCGGCTTCCTCGACGTCCTAGGTGCGTTCGCCGCGCCACAGATAACTCCCAAGGACCTCGACACGCCAGAGAGACAAGCAACAACAGAGCAACAACTTTGTTAGCGAGGCGGGGTGATCGGCGGTTGCATCGGCGGTTGCATCGGCGATTATTTAGGAGGCAAATAGTGAAGCAGAAGCTAGAAAAGCAAGGCGTAGCCTATCATGTTCCCACTCTTTACTTCGGAATTTTCTTTATTTTCCGCTCTAATCCGCTAACAAATCATTTCATTAACTGCAGAACGCTTTAAAATGTGTCAATTTGGAAGCTTGGACTAGTTTTTGTGCGAGAGATTATTGAGGCGTGAGAAAATCGCGCGGCTCGATGATAGATCTGTTAGCGCCCCTCCCGTGCCTCTATCTGGAAAATAATTAAACTACTTGGCGAAATAATCAATAATATAGGGTGTTTCAAATGCCGAGGCAGGGTCTAAAATTGGCCGTAAGATTCGTCGCCTCCACCCGTTTATTTCAGCTTTTCCTAAAAGGTGGATTTTACAAGTGGGTTTTACCTTGTAAAATTACAAAGCGTAGCTCCCTTTTTGTAACAAATAGGGAGGGCCAAAAAAATTTGCCAGGGTCAGCAGCGGACAGCGATGCAGACTACCGAGTCGAGTGGCGGGACGCGTGTATTGATAGATGGCGCCACCTCTTTATCGATACAGTTCGCGACGACCGTTTTCTAATCAAATAAACATTTTTTTTTTTCGTAATGCACCTTTGGTTTAAGTATGAATGCGTAGAAAAGTGGCAAAACTTGAAGTGACAAACGAAAAACGCGGTTGCATGACGACGGCGTCCTTGCTGCCCACGGACTTTGTTTGCGCGCCGTCTGCTTCCTTTCGCTGGTTGGCTAAACCTTCCGAATCTTCTTCCTACGCCATTTATCAATGCGTGCGCCAAACACGCCCCACCACTCGACTCGATCGTCTACGTCGCCATCCGCCATTCGCCCTGGCAAGATTTTGGCCCTATATTTTACAGAAAGGGAGCTACGCTTTGTAATTTTACAAGGTAAAATTCAGCTGTAAAATACACCTTTTCCGAAAAGTTTGGATTCCTACAGCGAGGCGCCAATTTTTACGGCCCATTTTAAATCTAGACTCGGTATTCAAACACCCTATTATGCGTATCTTTCACGGTTTTTTTTTTTTTGTCCTTGTATCATGTTATTGCTTCTCGCAAAGACGTAGTAGGAGAAACATATAATTTGTAAATGAGTAGTAAGTCAGCGCCCTTATTAGTCCTTCCGTGTGTCTCCTTCGTTTTTGTCCTTGTGTTTTTTGCACCGTTGCTGCCATTGTGATGTCAGAATGTCGGGTCTAGACAGGTGCTTCGTTTCTTATGTTGTCAGGAACAATAGGTGTGTGTGTGTGTGTGTTGCCTAATCATCAATCGGTCCCGTCAAATGTTCGCCCGCCCTTCATGTGTACACAAAAAGGCCATGATTACGTGACTCATCACCAGCGGGTTCTGCTCTATGATAGAATAGGACACATGCGCAATCTGTTTAGAAAATGGAAGTAGAAACAGGAGAGAGAGGCCCACCTTCCAAATCCGCCTTTTATGTCTCTAGCCGGTGCACTCCTGTAAATATATCAGCTTGAACTTTAGAATGATACTTGAACACGAAGAAAGAAAGGAGAGGAGAGGGCAAACAGCTGACTACCAACGGAGTTTTAGTCTAAACTTCTTCCTCGCGACAAGGTGAAGTGTTGTGCTAGTTGTTTTGAGGTGAACACCTTGGGAAGAAACAGCGGCAAAGAAACTTGGACCAGAGTAAAGAAACATGCACGACAGGACGGCGCCGTCCTGTTGTGCATGTTTCTTTACTCTTGTCCAAGTTTCTTTGCCGCTGTTTCTTCCTAAGATGTTGTTCCTTGTGAATTTGATTCATTCAGAGTTCAAAGTAGAGCACAATGAACTAACTACATATATAAACTCACTTCACTAATAAAGATTACTACTAATAATTTCACTTATACAGAGTCATACAAAACACTAAAAATATTGTTTTTGACCTAACCCGCCACAAGCTTTGTTGTTGTTCGGGCGTGACATTCTGTAGGTATTGTTTTCCTTTTTTGTGAACCAACATGCTGAAATCTTGACATTTATTGTGTGGGAACCTTTCACTTAAAAAAAATATCAACTTCGTGAACTAAGTATTGTGCAAACACTTTTTCTTTAACGCTTGCACATTCAGTTCCAGAAAGCTTTGAAAAAACAAATCGGTAACTTGCCAATCCAAATGGCCTCTGTCTAACAAAAACTACGGTGCTTGTAACACGTCCCGGCTGGTACGTTGAGGGCTAAGAGAGAGGCTTTCACCCCCCCCCCCTTTTTTTCTATTTTTATGTGTAGTCAACCCGATGTCCACAAGCATAGCGCCAGCCCCAAGTTATGAATATCCCAAACATAATATTCAAACTTACCTTCGCCACCCACTTGCCTTCCTCGAAATATATTCATGGCCAAGCCACTGAATTGGAACGCCTTCAAAACGGCGAAAATAGCTTACATATAAACGATGGCAAGCAATGCCACTGGCCACCGCCATGTCTCTTCACGTACGGGCAAGCCCTTGCAATATCAAGCTTGCTAAAGCTATGTTCACGCACAAGCTGCACGTACTTGCACTCATGGGGCACCAGTCGGGCCGACATGCCTACAAGTGTCTGTAGGTCCTCGTGTAATTGACCAGATTGTCGCGATTCCGCCAATTGACTGTAGAAGCGCGGGAAAAGGATTTGAGGCGACGCAGGATTGGAGGCGTCCCTACGCATGGCTGCTTTAGCTTCCATCGAGTGGCTGACAGACACCCGTTCCACTATTGTGCCTAGAGCGCGTCTTCGACTGGTGTGTTTAGCGTCCTACGCTGCCCTTGCATCAAAAGTAGTCCCAAAGTGGCAACCAATGGACGTCTCTGAAAGCCAGTGTCATGCCGTTGCATGTCGCGATCCTGGCCTTTGGTCGTAGAAATGCTAACGAAAAAGCTGCGAGTAGCACAAGCGAACGCGAGTGCCGCTGTCGTCACGGCGTCCCAACTTCCGGCTGCCGAAGCTTCCGTGGACTGCCACGCTGGAGAGCGACCTGCGCAGAACGGGAGTCTTCCACATGCACCACAGTTGTTGGTACGCCGCCAGGATCGCGACTGGCGACAGCGTGACACTTGTATGACGTCATCGGGCGGAAACCGAGGGACCACTTTTTTGTACGCGGATTAGACAGAGACGCGCTCCAGGCCCCATAGTTCCACTGCAGGTCACTCTCCAGTGTCGGCAGTTCGTAGAAGATTGTGCAGCCGGAAGTTGGGGACGCCGCGATGAGAGCGACACTCGCATTCACTCGTGCTTTTTCGCCAACACTTCTACTACCAACCGCTAGGATTGCGATATCCAACAGCTTCGACTTTCGCGACGTCATTTGTTGCCACTTTGGGGACCACCTTTGATGTACGAGAGGGATGGGACGCTAAACGCTCCGGTCGGAGTCACGCTGTTTGTACAAATACAAGAAAAACAAACACGGCGTTCACTACAGACAAATTGACATAATTATCCTGAGGCGCACGACTCAAGCGCATCAAAATCGTGTTTGCCTCGTATACATACGTGTGAATTGAACACGTGTGCTCACGGGGCTTGAATGACCGTTGTGACGGGGCAGGCCGCCATTTCTCCCGCAGCGGTCACTCCGGAAGCTGCATGTATGCGGAGGGCAAGTTCGTCTGCTTCTTGCGCAGGGGGCAGCGTTAATAGATTACCTCAGTTGTGGAACTCAAGCGGAAGGGGGTACCCCCCCTCAATCACTTCAATCCGCCAAGTGTCGTTCGAAGCGCCATCTAGATTTTCGTTTCATAACTGTGCGTTCCAAAGAGCAGAGATGAAGCGCCATCTAGACGCCGTGCTTCGAAACGTACGTAGCGATCCCAGCGATCCCGACCCGATTTCACCGTGCCCGACTCCCATAAGATACGCTGCAGTTACCAAGGCAGCCATCCGGCGGCGCGTCGAGCGACGCTTGGCGAGTCGTGGTGAGTAAGGGGGGGTACTGTTCGTGCATGCAGCGTCTATGAGCAGTTCCGTAACTGAGTTAATCTAATAACGTTGGCAGGGGGTAGCGGTGACGTCAGAACGCCGAGCCCTCATTGGCTGATCGCGACCCCCTCTCTGAGCGTCGTCTGCTCGCAACGTCGTCTGCGTCTGTCTTGCCTTTCCGGTGACTTTTGGAAGTGCAGAGGCCAGATTCACGAAACGATCTTACGCCAAAAATGTGCGTAAGACAAAACTTAAGAACAATTTCCTATTCACGAAACGAAATTTTCGTAAGTTTTGCGCAGGTTACGGCAAAATCCTACGACAGCTCCGAAGCTGTCTTACGCACTTCTTACGATCAAATCAGCATGGCCGACAGCGTCGCGGTCGCGACGACCCACGGACGTTTATTTTTCTACGTGCGCTTCTCACGCGTCCCGACTGCAAGCAGCGAAAAAAAAGTACTTGAAACAGACCACGACGAAAAAGAACGCTGGATCCACAAACACCCGGGAGAAGCTCCAATGGCCACGATTCCACCGAACGCGACCAAGCGAGCTTCGGCAGTTAGGCCTAGCAGGCACTCCGCGACTCGGCGACCGTCTGCCCACGACCGGCTGGCGTGCTCAATGGAATATGCCCGCGCGACCCTTGTGAACCCTTCCCGTATTATACTTTGATCGCTGACCTCAATTTTAGATGAAGAGGTCAATTTCTTCCTCTTGTTATCTCCTTGTTTCCCGAGGCAACGGTGACTCTCGCAGGTGAAAAAGCGGTGAATTTCCGACAGACGCAGGAAAGGTAAAGCAGCCATCGCTTCGACTAGCAGACGTAAAGCAGACGACGTTAACAGCGCCAACCCGCCGACGCCGTTAAAGAATGATGGGTCTCGCCGCACACGAAAGGAGGGAAAAAGTATTTGGGAGGGAACTTGCGGACACTAACACGCTCATTCTCGGTTCTTAGCAAACAAACCTCAGCGCCTCAGGACACCTCGCCAGTGAGTCCTTTGACTTCCCTCCTTGATGCGCGTCTGCTAGTTGTTAGACAAAAACAACGTACCGCTCGAGTTATTTCGTCTGAAATAACGTTTCCCTGAAAGGCGAAGTCTAGCTCGCAGGTCGCAGGAAAGATAAGACAGACGCAGACGATGTTGCGAACAGACGACGTTGCAAAGGAGCAGACGACGCTGAGATAGGGGGTGGCGGTCAGCCAATCAGGGCTCGGCGTTCTGACGTCACCGCTACTTCCTTTCTCATGCGCAGAAGACGAAAATGAGCCCACTTGCGAGGCGTGGCGGCGTGAGGACCTGTGGCGCCATGTCGGAGTGCTAGTTCGCAGTAGCTATAAAAATCAACTTTCATGTTTTGACTTGTCGCTAAGGGCGGCGCTGTTATCGTATTTAGTTTGGCCTCGGTGGACGCGCGCGCTCCGAGTGTCAAGGGTGAGTTTCCCAACTGAGTGTTTTAGTAACGTTGCTTACGCCCTAGCTCGGCGGACAGCTGCCGTTTTGTTGGGCACATCTGTCGTGTGCCATGCGCAGACAGGAACTGTGACGTCTTTAGTGGATGAATGGTAATGGGCGGCAGCTTGCGTCACCTAGCCTAACATTTCGTCATCCCTTCTACTATTTTTTTTTTTAATTTGTATGCATTTTGTTATAACAGACCCCCCTCTCTTTTAAATTGAATTTATTGCCTATTTTTATATGTTTTTTTTTTTATCCTTCCCTAGATCTCTTCTACCAATCTTCCAATCTCCTCTTAGTTACCGCAATTCTTTCCCTATTCATTCGTCCATCCATGTCCGGGAAACCCAGTGCCCCCTCCAAATTTAGTGAAATTTAGTCATTTAATGTTGTCGGGCTAACTCTGTGTCCGAGAAAGGGCTGCGAATTTCAGTCCAGTTTCGCTTCGACGACGCAGTTCCACCGTCTATTCTGGAAGAGGGGACGAGCTCCGACTCGACGGTAGACGAAGGCTCGAGGGTGGGCCTGCGCTGTCGAGCGCAGGGGTACCCGCCACCGTCCATCTTGTGGAGAAGAGAGGACGGCCGAGAGATCAACCTGGAGCGCTACAGCGGTCGCAAGAGCACCGGTGGGTTTCAACTTTGTCTACCCTCTTTATCCTTCTCACCTTGTCACGTCTGACACAATGCCACTTTACGTTGAATAATTTATATATATATATATATATATATATATATATATATATATATATATATTTTTTTTTTTTTTTTTTTTTTTTTTTAGAGCGCAGCTTTTAGGGGCCCGTTTCCGGCTTGAGCGGCGTCGGCGTCGCCGTCGGCACAACCGCGAGGTCACGTGACCCCCTGAGGTCCCCCTAAGGTCACGTAACCCCCTGAGGTCACGTGACCGCCTGAGGTCACGTGACCCCCTTGAGGTCACGTGACCCCCTTGAGGTCACGTGACCCCCTGAGGTCATGCGACCCTTTCTCCCCCCTCCGAGGTCACGTGACCCACCTGAGGTCACTTGACCCCATGAGGTACGTGACCCCCCTCCCTCGACGTCACGTGACCCCCCTGATGTCACACGACCCCCCCTTGAGGTCACGTGACCTCAAGGAGTCACCTATCCCTCAGTACGCTTCCATCCTCCTCCTCAAGAGCTGCGCTCTAACCGGCGTTACAGGGAATTGTAAACGGCTTTCATTTTTTTTTTTTTTTAGTGCACGTATATACTGAGCAATCAAGTAAAACCATTAGCACGGTCGACATAGATGAGTTGTACGAAGAAAATCGTTCTCCGCAAGCAATCACGTCACAAATTTTGAAACAAAATGATAAGAAAGAATCGTATAAGATATGCGCATATAGTCGATCATTGTGATGGCTAGGAATTAGGCGTGTTTTTTTTGTGTGTGTTTCTCCTTAAAAATTGGTGCCTCTCAAATAAAAAAAAGAAAACTGAATAGGCGACACGCAGTAGTGCAGCCCACCTCTCATCGTGTGTAATATATTGTTATTAGATGTGTAAATTTTCTTTGCGTATCCTTTGTTTGTATAAAAGATATGTATCCGCGTTGTTGAATATAAATATTACTTTTTGTATAACCACGGGCGAAATTAATTATACACTTCTGTGGAAGCTCTACATGTGCTCAAGAAGCAGAAACTTGTTTTAAGCTGGAAAATCACTCTCTCAATATTTTTCCGACCCACTACATTCGTCCAGGGTGCACTACTACCTTGGCTCTGGGCAGTCTTGCACGAGTAAATGTTGTCCTCATTTCATAAGAACGCGTTCAATCTATCGGCTGTTAATACCAGCTTTTAAACATCAACACGAGCTTCTAGTCGCTGCTCACACTAGCTGCGGAACTTTTGCACATATCATGGCACTCGATTCTTTTCGCTGCCGTTTGTTTTCGTAGAAGCATTATTCCGCGCTCACACTGCCGATGTGCATCATATATGTAAGACGCGACGTTCGTTGCAGAAACGACCATTCAATTATAATCGTAGACCCTTTAAGCACGTTCTAAGCATGTTCGCTTCATACACGTATACGAGATTGGAGAGGGTAAGCAAACTGGCCAAGGAAAGAAATCATACTTTTGGTTCTTAATTTCCAGTCTAGGTGGCGCAATCTACCACCCGATATAAAGTGAGCGGCCGTTAGCATCCATACATCGCATACGGTTCAAACGCGTCTGCAGACAGTTTTTCTATGGCCAATGTGACAGGGCCGTCATATACAACCAACGTTACTGAAACACTCAGTTGGAAAACTCACCCTTGAAACCCGCACCGCTCGCGTCCACCGAGAACAAACTAAATACGATAACAGCGCCGCTCTTTAGCGACTAGTCAAAACATGGAAGTTCATTTATATTGCTACTGTGAAATGGCAATGCGAGATAGCGCCACCGGCCCTTGCGCGACTCGACCTGAACCTATGACCTGAGCCGATACATGCAGACGTGCAGTTCCCGGAGTGGCCGCTGCGAGAGAAATGGCGGTGTTGCGATCGCCATTAGTTCAGTTCTCCAGTACGGATCGAAGCCACTTTTTCAAAGCAGACCTAATGCAGTTTCCCAACTGAGTTCTTATACTAACGTTGTATAAAACGATGAAACACGCTTGAGACAGTGGCCGTGTTCCATAATTTACTCGATCTTACTCCAGGGTACGGGTTTTGTACCCTCGCGTTCTAAAACCTACCCGCGTCCAGCGTTTCTCAATCTGTGACACGGCCCGCCGGAGTAACTCGGATTCATTTCGGTAAGATTTGGGACACAGTAAGTGCCTGCGGACCGTCTTTTGTGCGATGTGTAAGCAATGTGATCTCGGCCTTACACGCTCCTGGCAGCCATGACGGTGGAGGGAGAGTTCCTGAACATCAGCCAGGTGAACCGGGAAGACATGGGCGCCTACCTGTGCATTGCCAAGAACGGAGTACCACCGTCGGTCAGCCAGAGGATATTGCTTCAAGTCAACTGTAAGTGCTGCCCCCCCCCCCCCCCTAAAATAGATATATACTTATTTCAGTTTACATTTGTGTAGGACACGAGATTACGGAAAAAGGCCATGGAGTAAGGTACAGTATAGAGGCCAACAACAAGTTTTAATTGAGTAAGGTACTTATAGTTAGGGAAGCCGCGAGCGTCGCAACTGCGTAATGAAGTCCTCTCTTTGCCTTGGTTGCAAGGGCGCCACCAGATGGCTCCTCGACATGCGGCTAATTGAAACCTGCCGCAAGTCCGGTTCTCCGTCGTTTTCCTAGCGCACCACGCCATGTATAACTTGCCACTTTCGCTGCTGGTATTGCTTGGGCACTGCTTCGTCACTGACCCTAGTTTCGTGCCTTAACAGCGGCAATATCAGTTTTGTGAACGCGTTGAAGCGCAGATCTCTGGCGTGGTTCATAGCGCGGTGGTCGGGCCAGCGTCCGTCATGGTCCGGGGAGACGCTCCGAGCGGAAAGAGCACGCGCCCGAGTGCCACGGGAACAAAACAGTTCCTTTGTTTCGTTCGTCTCTTCTTTTCTTAGCTGCGCCGTCTGAACGGCGGAGCTGCTGGGGCGCGCGCCAATAGGACCTTATCTCATCAATAAGCCACGCCCTGCGTTCCTTAAACTGTCCGCGACTCTGATTACAGTATCTCCCGGCAAGTATTATAACTGATTTCGAGAAATGTTTGAAAAGAAGCTTTCTTGCAGCTTGTGTGATCTTTTCATAATTATTGTTACTTTCCAAATTCTGTGCAATATATTTGCCGTGACTAAAGCCGTCTTTTTTTATTGCTTTCAATGGGCTGAAACACGAAAATAACAAAAATATACTACTTTTGGTAACGACTTTCTCTTTGATAGTATAATATTGATTCACATTCCTTTTGTTTTTATTTTATTATTTTTTGCTGAAATGACGAGAATATTAAAAAAAGAAAAGTTTGTATATATCGTAATACAGGCATATCATCGACCACAGAATACTTAGTTTTGACGAGCTTCTTAGTACAATAGCTAGAGCTTTAAAATAAAAAAAAGGAAATTAAAAGAAATCCGGAGTGACGTGAAAAAAATTACATTTATGTTGTTCTGTGTGCGTACATTTCTAATTGTTATAACAAAAATAGAATACAACTTTTACTAGTTCACTGCCTTCCCATGGAGTTTAAAAGGACGTATGTGTAGCATGATATAACCAACATAAACAGGCAGTCGCCTGAATCTACCTGTTTTTGCTCCTAAATAAAAACAGAAGTTATAATCTAAACTACCTATATTAGCTCGCCCCTAATCATGTTCCCCACTTGGGCGGCAGCAGCTCGCGGATTGCCAGTGTCATGGTGAAAGAAGAGAAAGGGAGAAGTGTGTGTACCGTACCGCCTCGCCATAAAGCAAGCGTGGCGAAGGTTCGCTCGCGTTTTTTTCAAACGAAGTGAGATGGCACAACACGTCTAGGGGTATTTAAAGGGCATCGGGGGGTGGAGGAGAGCCACTCAAAGAACCGCGCTTATTCGCGCATACGTTTACAAAGCCGCGTGGCTCGCGACCTTGCCTGTGCTAAGGGCCTAAACCGACAGTGCCCCTGCCGAAATGCGCGAAACTCTACAAGCCGTTGCTGCCTTACAAGGCTTGTTCAGACACTTTTGTCTTCTTCAGCCATGCTCACTTCTCAGAATAAAGGCTACTACCTTACTTCCACTGTTACACTTAACCGCCGTTAAGTGTGATTGACGGAAGTCTTCACAGGCGGTTAAGGGTGCCCGTGAAACTAGGGTATAGTTGGCAGTGAGTGCTTGCCATACTAAAGCGTAACTACGGTTCAGGATGCCCGTCGGACGGCCTTAACCGCAGTTAAGTGTGCCCGAGGTCAAACCTAACTGCGCTTAAGGGTTTCTTTGTGACTAGGGTATAAATGTATCTGACAGTATATGCGTAATTTCAATTCGTCATGTCTCTTTTTCTTGTTTTGTTTTCTTACTTTTTTCTTTTTTTATAGTCCGGCCCAAGATCCGCGTCTCGGAGCAGCTGGTGGGCGCTGCCGTGGGCAGCTCGGTGTTCCTCGAGTGCGTGGTCGAGGCGTCGCCGAGGCCGCTCACGTCCTGGATTCGCAGCGACGGCCAGATCCTGCTCGAGAGCAGGAAATACCGCGTCGCCGAGGAGGCCGACTCCTATCGGATCCGCATGCGGCTCCAGATCACGGACCTCAACAAGGCAGACTACGGACACTACAAGTGCCACGCCAAGAACACCTTCGGCGAGAAGGAGGGCTTCATCAGGCTACACGGTAACAGCTAGAGGCACTAAGGACTTTTCGAAGACCGTTTTTGCCGTCCCTGAACGCCCTCCGCAATCCGTTACGATGTCCGGAACTCTCCAGTCAAGGCCATCGGCGCGCAGGCGCAGTAGTCGAAGGGTAAACGTGGTCTACGAAAACTTCCTACTATATCTGCTACGCTAGTGGAGCAGAATATCGCAACGGTCTCATTTCTATTTCTATTTCCTTTTTTTTTTTTTTTGCATTAAGCAAAGCGGAGAAGCGACCGTCGCTCCTGCAGGAGACGCGACGGGCGCGACGTTATGAGGCACCGGTTCAGCGTGTATGCGCCGTCTTGGGTCTGCCAGTTCCTTGAAGACTGTAAGCGCGCGTCATTGTCGGTTATTGTGTTGTCTGCTTGTACACGGCCGCTTTGAAACAGCGCTTGCGTTACAAACAGAACGCAATTAGATGCGCTCAAGTGGCACACACTATGTCCGAAGGTTCAAGAAGCTTCCTGCTCGTCAGACTTCAGTGTAAGGACTGCATTTCGCGAACGCAGAGTGAAAAATATGTTAGCTCCAGGCCGGCGGCGCTCCTCAAGGCGGCTTCCCCGCAATCACTGTAGTCAAGTTTGACTCATGTGTCCCCTTCTCCGCCAATGAGGAGCTGGGAGTGAAAGGAAAATAAAGGCGATACTCTAACTCCGCCGGTTGTAGTTACTCTACACGTTAACAGATAAAGCTACTGAATAAGTGTCGGCACCCCCTCTCAACGGTGTTCTGATGGCGCCGCCATTTTGTTCCCAACTGCAGAGCGGGCGCAACCCACCTCTTTCGACAGAAGTGACGCCTCATGTCGGGGACTTGGTTTGAGGACTATGTTGGCAGGAAACTCGAGTAAACAAGAAATGGCAAAGTGCTAGGCAGTTGTGTTGCATACGTGAAACGTTGTAGCGTCGCAAACGTCTAGCGATACTCTGAGTTTTCAGACGCCAGAGGCCTACGTTCACGGCGCTCTTCTTCAGATATTACGTACCATGTGTACACTTGATAGTTGTTCCTAGAACGAAGCGATATTACCGCTGATCGGGTTGATCAACGTGGCGGTCTTTCAGAGCCTGCCATGCTCTCGAGCTCCTCTTCCTCAGCGCGCACAGGTGGTCGAGCTCCTCCTCGCCTACCCCTCTGGTCACGTGACTTTCCCGTCAGCATCGAGCACCTCACTCCTCCTCTCCCACTCTTCCACCAATCACTGTCGAGCCTCGCGGCAACGATTTATCCAGGCTTCGCTTTTGGGATTCACGAAATTCCGAACACCTAGTCAAAGAACGTTTCACATTAAAAAGATGCCAATAGGAAGGAGAGATGAGAAGCTTCTTTGTTCTAACTTGTAGGCAAAATATAAGTCACAATGGCCACAAACCGATGTCTCGGGAATCTAGGTTACCATCTAGCTCGACGGATCTAACAGGATGTTGAGTTCTCATTCAAAGAAATATTGGCACTCGATCATGCCACTTCCTTGCAGCTTCATGCCGCAACAGCCTCATACCGAAAATTCGGAAAAAAATGGACTGAAGGATTTGCCATATTGCCAATGAATGACATAACCTTGATGTTGTTTTTGTTTGCAGAATAACTCTTAATGTGAATAAATTGGCAGTGACCTCTATTTTTAAAGTTCACTAACGCGTGAAATGCAATATTTAAGCAGAGATCGTTTAAATTTCTTTGAAAGACATTAAACAATCATTTTGGGGAGCGAACAAGAGCATGTTGTCTAATAATTTCCCTGTTGTCAGCGCTTAGGTTTACGAAAAAAATATATATGAACCAGCCATGGAATTGATCTAAGGTTCCAAGGTTCTGTAGCGTGCGACTGTGCCGTCACAATGACGTTACGTAGATTTTTGAATCTTTTTTTGTGCCAATTGTTTGCCTCCTTATTGGTTTGCATGCCCGCAAATGCACAGCAGACACTGAGACTTAGCTTTCAACAAATCGCCAGCCAAAGCCGGCCAGTTTGAGTGTTAAAACCGCGTTTTGAAAGAGTTTTGCAAAAATGCTGTCAACACTTGCCCAGAGATTATGATTATCAATTATAAAATGACGATAGTAAATTATATATCACGTATCTACTATAGCACTTCCTCGTTTGTACTATTAAGATGAAATAATTGTACTAGAATTATGTCGTTATATTTGAAGTGGGATCATATAAGGACGACGACAGAAAGTGGAAAGAGATGAATAGTTCTGTTAAGTAACTAGTGAGGTTGCTTAGAAAATTTAGGAAACTTAACAATACTTGCATTTCTAACATATCTGCAGTTGACGTTTTGTTATGACCAAATATTTAATTATATAAGATACGTTACTTTTTTCAGATATTCCCCACCCAACAACGCTTGCCAGGCCGACCGCCGCGGCAGAAACAGTGGTTCCCAAAAGTAAGCTCACCTTCCATGTTCTCGCTAAAACTACGCATTGTGACACGTGATCAAACGTTGCAGATGTGTTGCAGTTATAAATTTATCTTTGAATTACAGCCAGACAGTCAGGGCGAGACGATCCCCTGCGGTTACGGGCGCAGGCGGACCTGTCCGTGCCGGCGACCAAATCGTTCCTAGACGAGAAAAGCCAAGATTCCGTACAGCAGGGTAATCCCATCAGTTGCCACTATACCGAAAGAAACTCGGGGAGAGGTGGAGATGAGAGTCTTCTCTACCCATCGTATCCCTCCAACCAGAGCGAACAATCGCTTCGTTTGTTCCGAGCGCAGCGTCTCGCGTTCAAACGGCGGACGCCGGCGTTCGCCATTCGAACGTGTTTCAACAGCGAGGACAGACAAAAGTGGCCAGCCCTTGCTCCTAATCACTAGTCCTTCCAAGCAAAGTTCGGCGGTGTGACGTCCTCCCGCGCTTTCATTTTCTCCTCTCCCTTAGTTAATCTCCGTGCGCTCAGTTTTGTACTTGGAGTACGACGCTGCTAAAGCTACCGGCGCGAGCCCGTGGCTTCACCTGTACTCTTCCTTTCACGTTACCATGAACGGTCGCTACGAGCCGTTCTAACCAATCCAGCGCTGCAAACGTGGCACTTGATTACGCGCTCCCCCGCATCGCTGTGTCCCTGCCGAAGGTGACGTGACATATTCACTCTATTGGATTTAATAACGTGAAACGTTCTTTGGCTCTGGATTTCGTGAAGCCGCGTTTCGTGAAGCCGCATTTCTTGAAGTCGTGTCTTGTGCCGTCCCATAATGCAACGCGCGCAGTGTTGCATTAAGGGACGTCGCAGACCTACGCACCAATTTAGTTTCTTCGCTAAATTTAGCGGGGAAGTTGACGTCATGTGACCTATACGGCAATTTAGTTTCTCCTCTAAATTTAGCGGGAAAATTAACGTCAAGTGACCTACACACCAATTCAGGTTTCCCGCTAAATTTAGCAGAAAAACCGACGTCACGTGACCTGATGTCACGTGATGCTAGAACGTTTCACGTATGCAACACAACTGCCAAACAATTTTCCGTACAGTTTTTTTTTTTTTTTTTTTCAGTTATTCATAATTTTTGTGAAGGCATTCCGGGGATCGGTTCCGATGACTCCTATCGGCGACGAGCGCGATCGAAAGCGTCGTTGGGATAGGGCTTCCGCGATTGGCCGAATGCTCACTATGACGTCAGCAAAAGATTTCTCTTCGACGAAAATAAAAGGAGTGGAAGAACTTCAATTTTGGCGGTGTTGGCAGCGTTGTTTTTAAAGCGAAATGATTTCAAGCTTCCACCATGCTCATTACAAACACCATCGAACTTGTTGTTCGCAAGGTAATGACGTTGTTATGTATGGAGACCAACGCTATATCACAGCAAACTCACACAATTAATAAATGATAAAAGATAGAACAGGCTCGAACGGCCGTATGCTCTCGGAGTCCATGCTCGTGCTCCCAGCTGGCGCATGTCTCTGCTCACACTTTGTCGTCTTCCAGCTCCGCGGTAATCCCCGCGCCAGTACAGACGTCACGAGAGGAAATCACAGGAGGGCGCCTCTAATAATGTTCTCTGCGGTTTGTTATCAGCTTCTACGGAGTATATCACCTCATTTGGACAAGAGCGCGTGCAAACTGAGCGCTAAATCAGAGCCACGGTGATCAGAACAACTTTACTGGATCAACTCGGTTGACAAGCTCCGCATTGGAGCTTGTCAAGCTCCAATGCGTAGCCCTCCGTTCGTGTCAGCTTGTTGGCGCTGTCGTGACATCACGCCCGGTCCGCGAGGCCGGCCCACCTCAGGGCAAGCATGTGACGTTGGCTTTTCATCGCAAAATCAGGCAGTCGGCAACCTTTGTGCACTTTTTTTTTTTTTTTTTAAGTAGGCGTTGCAAGTATATTCTGCTGCAGCCATATGATTGTAAACATGCACGCTTACGATTTCTTCGGTTTTTAGACGGTATAATGAAACGGATAACAGCGTATGTGCCCAGCTTTGGGTCGAGCTCCCGATTGCTATTTCCTGTTCGTAAAATATTAAGGCTAATCGGGATTTATCTCATAGCTGATGTCTCTCATATTCGTCTATGACCAGCATCCACAATCCATCTCAGATCCACCTCAGATGCTCTAGTAGTAGGCCTCCCGACGTAGCCGAACACAACTACAAAAACAGCCCGCTCCCTTCAAATGACGAAGACGTCTTCAAATTGGTATTCTTTCCTAATGCGGCTGCGGAATGTATGCAGCAGTTTATGCTTAAACTTCTTTCACAAACACAGCATACAGAAGAGGAAGTTTATGGCATTTCAGTCCGCAAACGACCAAAACACAGCGGTCCAGTGGCCGGAAACCACGATAGACGGCAGCCATTTCTCTGAGCTTGCATGCCTTGGTGCCTAATGTCGAAGACTTCCAAAACTACGAAGGCCCGGTGGGCGTCAATTTACCTCAAAAGCCCCGGGGAACTTTGTCTCAATCCGGACATTATCACACTGGCAACAGTCGTTTGTAATACACTTTGTGAACCAAGCCGGAAAAGCGGGTCGGGCGGGCTCCGGCACGAGCGCCGCTACGTGGCAATAAATGGCAACGTGTCACTTTTTTTTTTTTTTTTTGAGCTTGTTAATTTATTTGATCTAGTAACGTTGGATCAGAACACAGACTCGCACGAGCAAATTTGACAGCGTTGTATAGGGAGTATTCACTGGCGACCATAGCTGTGTGCGCGAATGCTGAGCGCGTGCTGTTGGCGAGCCTCCACAATTCTTTTTCAATGTAAATTCCGCACCATCAAGAGTGCCGGTCTTAGCAGCCTATTGATGTGAGCTCGTTCTGAGCACGCGCTCTAAATAGCACCCACAAATATGGCGTCCAGTGTATACTCCCTATAGGAGGCTATGTTTTTATACTACCGATAACACAGTCTACACGAGTGCGTCCCATGTCTTTAAGTGCGTATTCACCATGTTCATACAAACCCTACCAAGAAATACTCGTATCTCAAAACGCTTGGAGCGATCATATTTAAAATAATATTGGGTTGATACTTTTTTTTTTGCTTCCTGTTAGGGCTGCCCTCCAATGAAAAAAGTCGATCTGGCAACCACATGCTTGACCGCGTCCATTTTGAACCATCAGGAAGGAATAGGGCATCATGTGAGTATCTTTCTTTCTTTTTTTCAATTCCAGCTGTTGGGCAGTTTACCGGGCCCACACCGTAAGCTACTCTCGTTCAGAACTTCGGGTGGTGAAAATTAAATGCTATTTATCTGTAAATATGTCGAAAGACGTTCCCTTTGAGTAGGTACGAAGGAAGCAACATATCGCATTGGCAGACAATTAACAAAACACTTAGAAATATTTTTTTTCGTCTTTCTGATTACAAGAAGGTAAGAGTAGCGACAGTTTTTGACCACCGATGGTGCCACTCTACCATGTAATGTTCTGCTTTTTGTGGCGGCAGCAGGTTGAACGAGACACGTCTCGTAAGGTTTACTGGTCTTAGGCGAAGATTTTATTGTTTTAAACCAATAATAAATACGCATATGTCAAGTTCTTACGGCGTTATCTTTCGAGTGTACTTGAAAATGTTATAACAAAGCTCTAATAATACAGTCACACACTGTATAGCAGACACATGCGGAGATCGGGCACTTTTATGTTATAAAAAAATTGAGGGACGCGGCACCATTGCGCGGATTATGAATGAGTCACCCAATCAACTTTAGTTCGATCCAAAAGCTAATGCTATATTCTCAGCTGAATTGCCTATCCAGGGAAACGCGAAACTAAGCACTAAGGTAGTCGGGACTTTGCGTTTATAAAATTTAACATTCTGGAATGTCTCAGAGTGGCAGCCGTCGTTTTGCTTTGATAGCCAGCATGCCAGGGGAGGGTTTCTTTAACACCCTTAGTGTGTCGTTAGCTCTAGGAATGATCGGATTTACATCCTTAAGAGTGTAATATATTTTGTTTTCAATATGATTTTTGTAAGCAGAATGGTTTTTTTGTGGTTAGTTTCCAAGTCCAGATCGAAACAAGGAGGTGGTACGAAAACAGGATAATGCTGGTTCCTACGACAAATTGGTCAAATTTAGCGATGACATTTTGCCGCTGAATATAAAAGGAAACCTCTCCCACTAAATGTAGCGAAAAAAAAGTGAAAGCCGTTTACAACTTCCTGTAACGCCGAATTGGAGCGCAGCTCTTGAGGAGGAGGAGTGGAGGGTATATTCCTCCTCCTCCCTTGTGATCATGCCTGCTAGTCCTCCTCCCCTCCTGCTCCCCCTCCCTCTCCTTTACCACCTCCTCGTCCTTCAAGCTCCTCCCCTCCCCTCGCCTCCGCCTCCTCGTCTCTCCTCCCCCCCTCCTCCACCTTCGTACTGCTTTCCTCCTTGCCGCTCAAGCCGGACAATGAGGGGAGGAGGAGGAGAAGGAGGGGGAGGAGGAGGAGGGGGAGAAGGAAGAGGGGGGGAGGAGGAGAAGGGGGAGGAGGAGGAGGGGAGGAGGAGGGGGAGAAGGAGAGGGAGGAGGAGGAGAGGGAGGGGCGCGGTTACGCCGACGCCGACGCCGACGCCGACGCCGACGGCGACGGCGACGCCGACGCCAACGGCGACGCCGCTCAGGCTGGAAACGGGCCCCTAAGAGCTGCGCTCTAAAATGAAAGCCGTTTACAATTCCCTGTAACGCCGGGTTAGAGCGCAGCTCTAGAGGAGGAGGATGGAAGGGTACTGAAGGATAGGTTACTCCTTGAGGTCACGTGACCTCAGGGGGGAGGTCGTGTGACGTCAGGGGGTCACGTGACCTCGGGGAGGGGGTCACGTGGGCTCAGAGGGGTCACGTGACCTTAGGGGGTCACGTGACCTCAGGGGGCACATGACCTCGCGGTTACGCCGACGGCGACGGTGACGCCGCTCAAGCCGGAAACGGGCCCCTAAAAGCTGCGCTCTAAAAACTCCCTCAGCTCTCATTCTGCCTAAATCTAAGATTTTAGGATCATTTTACGAAAGAATAAGTTTATTTTCTCCTGGAATTAAGTGCAACCCGCACCTTCTCCAGGCAATTGATCGTCGCTGACAAAAAATCTGCCTAGTCCGGGACCCACTCTATGGGCCTCTCCAAGACTAACTATTAACTGAGATAACCAAGGTGCTAACCGTCAGTAGAGCGAAAGTCAATTTATTCTTGCGTAGATTGTCCCCACCTTCGGAGAGTTCCCCCCAAAACCATTACACCGAAGCAAAATTTTACTATTCCGTTGTTCTCTCATTTAACTATCTGTATTATATATATCTTTTCAGCCTCCAACTCGTCCAGAAGCGCAAGCTCGAATTCGACGCACGTCCTTTTTTGGTGTGCAGTGTTGTATTGCGTCTCCAGGTTGCTGTAGAAGAGCAGGAGGAGGAGGCAAGCCGCGGAGGAAGAGACCGGCTTTGCTCACGCCACTTCCAACAAAGTGCAATAGCTCTAAGACAAAGATACACACGTGGTGCTCAGAACTGTGCTATCGCCAACTGACAGTACTACACAAGGGTCACTTGGAAAACGTCACCGTGCCGCTAGAACCGAGACGAGCGCGTGTCCTTTCAGATACAAGAACCGCTCGGGGTGTATGAAGGCCCGATCCGCATGGAGCAATTTTCGGAGCAAGCTTTGTCCTGTTCTTTTATTTAGTCAAAATTGACTAATTGACATTTAACTCATGTTCAGCTGAGTCAACCGATTATCACTTTTTGACCAGAGATATATGTTTGTCTCGATAAAAAAAAAACTGCACTTTGCTCTCTCATAAAACAAAAGTAGTTATCCGGTCCAACTAAGCTACCTTTGGAAATCTCTCCACGTTGTTAGGGCCTTATCAAATTAATTGTTATTTATTTTGTAGGCATGCAATTTCAATTATTTCTGACAATTATAAGGCTGTTAAGCTTTATTGGGTTCAGTTTTCCGACAGTCGTTGTTTGCGTTCTCACTGGGAAGCACAAGCACCAAACAAGAGAATAATTCGAGACGAAAAGAAAGACAGCGTTTAAGTTACATTGCTTTCTTTTGTAGTCTTATGGATATTACGTCATACCAAGGCTCCGCGTGATGGTTACGTGTTTGCTTTACGAAAAAAACTATCCTGGAGGCTTAACAGTGCCGGCTTTCGTTTCGCTAAAAATCTAAATGTCTTAGCGAAACGTCGGCAGCTACCATGAGGTCTCCAGGAGACTTATTTTTTATTGCTTTCCGCCAGTCCTTATCATAATCGTGATTTGATTTCTTTCTGTTATTCATCACGCCCACAGCTACAAGGGTACACAGTAAGTCGGGACATTGTAATAGAGGGGCTCAAACACGTTGCGTATTACTATAAACGGACTGAGGAGCCGCTGGAACCTTTTCTGATGACATCTCCTAGTTTGGGCGCCCCAGTATTGTTGTTCTTCTGATGGCGTCACTTTTACGTGTACACCGTGAGATACCCTAGTCAAAGTGGCGCGCCATGAGAAGAAAACGTGCCGCAGAAAAGACCGCAGGAATAAGCCCCCAACCGTCAGGATCCTGGCAGAAGAACAAAGAAAACACCAGTTACTTTCTGCACGTAACAAGACGATGACTTCTGGGAGTGTGGGCTGTTCGCTAGCCCTGGAGATTAGTTAACAAGAACTATAACTCATGGAGGAGGCACTCGAGCGACTGTTGGGTCTGAACCCTGTCGTTTATTTATGAGTTCGGTCACTTTATTGGGCGGAAGCACTTCAGCAGATGAGACCGCATTCTCTGACTTCAAAAGACATACATTCAGAACAGAGCAAACTGCTACGTACAAGAACCAGACATGTGTAAAATATAATCTTGATGAAGAAGTTTATTTCGACCGGCAAGCTCTATCTAATGTAATTTGTTATAGGTAAAACTAAAATATATTTATGCAGATATAAACTTATAGAATATAATTACGGGGCACATCAAAACACATTTAATAACAGGATACCAAGGCTAGTTGGCTATTAGGGGAGCCTTCGGTGGTTTCTAAGAAACTAAATTGAAGTGGACGAAACGTACTAAATATTTATCTCTTAAGTCACGTTAAATCAATCTACTACATGGTTAACGAAAAGTAAAACAGCGTAAAAAAGCGGAGGACAAAAAGATGAAGTGTATAAACAAAGCGCTGACTCTCGACTGATTTATTGGAAGAAAACACAAACCACAACGTCATGGAGGGCCAGTAGTTTTTTTGGCGCATTCGAAGATAGAGTGTCTCTGCGCTTGGATGGATAGGAGTAGGGTAAATAGTCCTGTATGTGGAAAGAACCACAGGGTAATTTACGTGCCGTCCGCTGTCGGTGTAGTTTACAACAATAAATTGTCCTGTGGCAATGTTTACATCGGACAGATCTGCAGATGTGTGAACGAGAGGTTAATAGAGCGTACTTTATCGGTTAGGTTATCGCCAGTAGGCAACTTGGCAGCACACTGCATAGGTGCCGTTGCAAACCCGTTCTTGATAAGACGATTATCTTAGGACGATACAGTCATGAGATGACTAGAGAAATTTTAGAGGCCTTTTACATTTCGAAGCAAAAAGATAGGCGCGTCAGTTCGTCTTCTGTCGCATTATTTGACAAAGAGTTGGCATCCTTGAACAGGTTTGACACGTGGGGTGGGGGGGGGGGGGGGGGGGGGGGGGAAGCAGTGACGGTGTTTTTTTTTTGTTTTTTTTTGTTATGATCCGTGATACTTGTCGATTTGTGTTTCCTTCTTGAGAGTCAGCGCTCTGTTTGTACACTTCGGCTTCTTGTCCTCTGTTCTTTCTTTTCTTTTGCGTTGTTTTACTTTTTGTTAGTCGTGTACCATCAACTCGCCAAACTTTCCGCCCTATTGCAGTCTACTACATTTTGTTTTCGCACGAATAAAATTTGGGCCACTAGCTTGCGGCACAAGCGTGTCTGCGCTATCCGCGCATACTAACTCTCAGAGAATGCAGCAAGTCAATAGACCATTTGCTATTTCCCCCAAGTACCCCGGCCCGCGCTAAAAGAATCATGGGAACGGTGTTCCTTCAGCCCCTTAGCGATCGGTAATTTCGACCCCATTCTTGGTTACACAGGTTTTGAGCGTAATTCGGAGTCACCCTGAACAAGCGCCTGCTATACCCGAATGACCTGTCATATCGCTTTTAAAATTTCTCCTCAATGTCAGGGTTTTTGATACTGTGCATGCTGTCCACCCTTCAACTTAGATGGGCTGCAAAAATCTTTTACATTATTATCATGCTGATATTACGTTAGAAACGCTAAAAATGCTATAAACAACCCCGCGGACTCCGAGGTAAGTCCTGGTTTTTGTTTTTGTTAATTATCGGTTTTTTAAGCAATTCCTGCTCAAACAACAATCACGAAAATGATAATATTGTAAGAGATTTCTGCAGCTCAGGCCAGGTTGAAAGGTGGATCGCATGCGCAGTATCAAAAATGCTGACGTTGACGAGCACTTTTAAAAGTGTTATGACAGGTCCTTGGGGTATATCAGGTGCTTGTTTAGAGTGATCTCGAATTACGCTCGAAAGCTGTGTAACCATGGAGTTGTCGAAAATTAGCGATCACTAGGGAGCTGAAGGGACACCGTTCCCATGAATCCTTGAGTGCGGGCCGGGTTGCTTGGGAATACTGCAAGTGGTCTATTGTTGACTAATGCAGCAGATACGTTGCCTCCTTTCCACTGAGAGCTCAAGCGGTCAGAGTATGCATGCTATAAGGTTGGAACGGCCGTTTGTCTGCTTTTAGCTCATGGCGACGCCTTCTTGACTCACCATCGTGGGTAAAACATCACTTTCATCATAATATGACGTTGGAAACTTATATTTAAGATTGTATTAGTACTTTTTAACGAGACACATTTTCTGAAGTCATTATTGAAATTATTTAGAGTGAATATATATTGGTTGCGTCCAGCATTTTGCCACGGCCTCCTGCATTTCTTTCACACCTGAACCCTCCTGGGTAAAAATAAATATTACTATTACTAATATTATTATTATTAAATTGCGTGTAAGAGTCGTTGTCAAAGCAGAAGTGCATCTTTCCAGTATCTTTTTTTTACTTTTAACTATGATATAGTCGTAATATTCTTGAGCTGAATTGTTTTTAGAATGTGGTTTATGGGCAAGATATACCTCTACATATAAAAATAATTTGTGATTCTTATATTGTTACCTTGAAGCACAATCATATGTTGTTTTGTTTAGGAATTCCGTTATTTGTTATTATATTTTCTTTCTCGGAGTTTTTCCTTTTATACAGTTTGTAATTATGGTGTTTGTTGTTATTGATACTTTTCAGGACTGCATTTATAGAAATTTAAGTGATCGCACTGAAATGTGAATATATCTTTCTATCTTTATTTAGTAACATTGAAGCTCACGACAACGTTACAGCTAAATGGTTTGCTTTAAACTATTAGGTAGAGTTCAACAGCCAAACATTCTACATTGAACAACAAATTCAGACATATCATCATCTTTAGAAAATTATAAAAATCAAATGTTTTGTATTGAGCAAGGTTACGACACATGTGTTCTGAAACAACAAAGTGCGCATGTTTTACATAACGTATTCCCAACTTATATTGGGCCGAAATCATATCGCTTTCTTTAAGCATTGTGACGGAAGGTTTATTGTAACGACGCTACTCCGGAAACATTAACACCAGTTTTGTCGTGACCTGTAGTTTTGTCCAAGTTAAATTAGCATTTACTCCCGAACCGCTCCAAGCTACACTTTCTCAATATTTATTTTCTGCTCCTATTTGGATTCTGTTTGTATACAACCGAAAGCACACAAAACAAAACCATGGTATTTCTATTCTTCAAATATTCGCTCGCTAATCATTTGAAAACAAAACAGTCTTCTAATAAAGAATATATGAGTCGAGGTTATTTGGCCAAGTTAAGAAGAACCGTGTTGACGTTTACCACGATAAATCTACAAACTGCGATATGTAGATTGTAGATATGTTGTCGTCTATATTGTGTTCTGTGTATATTTAAAGCTCAGGTAATTTTTTATCTTTGCTTAAAAACGTATTTTAAATGAATGCATTGACAAAAACTTAGTTTGCTTTTTTTTCGTAAAAAATTCTGCAAATTAATTTCACTTTGTATTCTCACGAGCCAAATTCACCTTCTATGCTGACACCTGCGGTAAATTATATCTATATTTTAAGGATTTAGAAGATGATCCCAAAGTGAAGTTGGTTTACGCAATAATTTGACTAGACTTTCACCTGGGTAAATTATAGCTTTTTGTTGTACCCTATGAAACCGACTTTGTCAATCCGCTTAAAATTATATTGACCCATTTGGTACATATAGGGTAGCTGTATCTTCACAATATAATTTGC